GGTTGGGCGAGGGGCTGTATCGGTTCCTTTCTTAATGTTTGCCGATGATTTAATGCTTTTTTTGGAAGCTTCGGATGACCAGGTTTTGATCCTGAATCATGTAATGAGTCTTTTTTGCAACCCTTCGGGCTTCAAGATTAGCCAAGAGAAGACGCAGGTTCTCTTTTCCAATAACGTTCCCCATCATGAACAAGTTCGTTTGGCTGGGTTGCTCAACTTCAAGCTAACGACTAGTTTGGGTAATTATTTAGGGATGTCGTTGATTCATGGACGAGTAAATAAGCATACGTATGCCCATATTTTGGACAAGGCCGAATCCAGGCTCGCGGGTTGGCGCATGAAATCGCTTTCGATGGCGGGTCGTGTGACCCTTACTCAGTCGGTGCTAAGCACTTTACCACTTTATGCTATGCAAACCGCTCAGCTGCCATATTCTATTACAGACCGTCTTCAACAGCGATGCCGAGCATTCATCTGGGGCGGGTCTGAGATAAAAAGAAAAATCCATTTGATTGCGTGGCGGGACGTTTGTCGATCGAAATCGGATGGTGGTCTTGGCCTCAAAAACCTCCGTGTAATGAATGATGCTCTAATGATGAAGCTAGGCTGGGGATTAATTACGAAGCCTGATTTACTGTGGGTGCGCGTTCTAAAAGCCAAATATTCGATCCCTTCGTCGCTCGATGTCGTACCCACCATTTGCCGACAGCGCTCGGGTGTGATGCGATCTATTCTGAAAGTCTGGCCGAGCGTGGTCCGTGGCATGCGCTGGTTTGTTGGGGATGGCAAAACGGTTCGGTTTTGGGTCGATTCGTGGCTGGGCACGACGGGCCCTCTTTGGCTGCTTGCGACTCGGGAATTAAATGAGGCCTGCTTCTCTTTGAAAGTTGCAGATCTAATTACTGATCATGGGGATTGGAGCTGGGAATGCTTTCAAGATTCTCTCCCTACGGCTATCCTGCTTCGGATCGCGGCTACGGCCCCGCCACGAGACACGGCAGGTGCGGATCGGCTGATTTGGGGTTTCTCTCCAGACGGCGCTTTCACCACGAAATCGGCGTATGACTCGCTGCTGCAGCCGACGACCGTACCTACTGTCCCTATCTGGAAGCTCGTATGGCGAACCATGGCACCGCAGCGGGTAAGGCAGTTTCTATGGCTAGCTTGTAACGACCGACTACTTACTAACGTAGAAAGGGCTCGACGTCATATTTCTTCTTATGAGTGCTGCGATTATTGTGGCCACCGTGAAACGACCTTGCATGTGTTGCGTGATTGCCCCCATATTAAGGCCCTATGGCAGAAATTCCTCCCGGCGGACCATGGCGTGGAATTTTTTGAGCAACCTCTGCGGTCGTGGTTTATGCGTAATCTAACGAAGGTTCGGTTTGGCGGTTTCACGAACTGGGCTAGCTTGTTTTCTATTGTGGTTTGGAGAGCATGGGCGTGGAGGAACGATCGTATTTTTAATGGCTGCTCCGTTAGCTGCGAGGCCCGACGTGTGGATGTGCTCCATCGGTTGGACTCCTATTCTATTTCCTCGCGATGTTTTGCTAAGATAGGAGCTGATGTGGGCCGCTACGAGTCCCGATTGATTTGTTGGTCCCCTCCGGACCCCGGGTGGATTAAAGTTAATACTGACGGGGCTTTTGACATGGCCTCCGGGCTCGGCTGTGCGGGTGGCCTTATTCGTGATGAAATGGGGAGGTGGTCTATGGGCTTTGTCATGCATATTGGCTACTGTACTATCACTGGTGCGGAGTTATGGGGCCTTTTTGAGGGGCTTCAGCTTGCGTGGGATAAAGGGTTTCGCAAAGTTGTTGTGGAAATTGATAGTCAGTGTGTGCTCCAAATGGTATGTGGATCCCGAGATGATTTTGGGGCGAATGGTGCATTAGTTAAGGCCGTTCGTCAGATGCTCCATTGGAACTGGGTTGTTGATCTTCGTCATGTGCATCGAGAGGCAAATTTTGCAGCAGACCACTTAGCGAGCCTCGCGTCTTCCTATCCGATTGGTCTCCATGTGCTCCCTTCACCGCCTCCTAGTGTAGGCGACTGGCTTCAACATGATATTATTGGGGTTTCGTACCCCCGACGTATTCGTACTTAAGTCTTAGGCCACCGGCCTCCTTCTTTGTACCCAAAAAAAAAATTAATAAGAAAAAGTAGTTGCAAATTTAAATACTTTTTATAAAAATATATATATATATATATATTATTATATATTTAGTATGTCACTTTTTATTTGTGCAACTTACATGTGTTATATTATAATATTTTTTTTTAACTTACAACATATAACTACGTACATTAAACATAAATATTTCAATTGAGAAATAGTTTTATTTTTCTAATGAATTTTAATAAATATTATTATTTTTTATTATTATAAAGATAAATATAATTTATTTATTTCATATATACAATATGGATGTCAAATCGAAGATCATCAAAAGATGATTAATTTGATATATTATATATGTAAAACCGATAAAAAATACAAAAATTATCAACTTTTAAAATACATTTATAATTCAATAGCTAATTGAAGAAAACAAATAAAAGTCAGAGATATATTAGTCACTTAGTGCCTCACTATTGTAAAATTACAAAGAATTAAAAGGCTATATTAGTACAAGTGATATTAAATACCTAAGTTAACTAAATAATATTTATGGAATGTCCGAACCTAGATTATTAATGTATTAATATATCAATATTATTTGTCCAAACCTAATTAGGAAGCATGATTTTTCGCCAAGTAGGATTCCAAAGCACCAGAAGCAGCCACGTAAGCTCAGCGCATTCGGGAATTATATATAGAGGGATATAAAAAAATGCCAGCTAAAAAGTGTTTGTATAGTATTATCAAGTTTTTATATAAATTGGAAGCTTTAAACTTAATTTAAATATGTTTAGTTTCTAATTTGATATTTTACTTTATAGCCTTTTGTAGCATTAATTGACTTTGATTTATATTATTATTTGTGTTATAATAATAATTTTAAGTAGAATTTATTAGAATCAATAAAATAGCCGATAATACCGTTCGAATATATTGAACCGCATACTGATGGCTTGTCCAATATATAATTATTTATTGTATTTAAAACACTGGTTTAAAACACCGCGTTGGACATTCCACTACCAAATTCACGGCATAATATGACTTAAAAAAATCGTGAAAATTTCACATTTGTTATCGCATATATATTACTTTTTCGCTTTTCATACCGGAGGTTCTTGCTTAATCAATTTCAGTAGCATGTTTGTTTATGAAAAATTTTGAGTTTGTTTGGATTTTTGGGTTTGGTTTGGTTAATTTTGAAAATGTGGTATGGTTAGTTGTTAGTGGGTATATTAAAATAATATTTAAAATAAAATAATTAAAATTGGTTTGATGTAAAAGTATGAGAGAAAAGATGTGATGTGATGGTTAGTTAAAATAATGTGAGTGGATGAATATTGAATTAAGGTTGATGTGGTGTGTATGAATGATTGATTGATATTATTTATTTATATTGATAATATTGATGATAGTTGGGGTTGAGTTAAAGTTGAGTTAAAAAAAGTGGTTGAATTAAAATGTTGATTTTTTTTTTGAAAAATCTTATAAACAAAAATGCTCAAAATTAATCACTTTTGATCCAAGCATTATACAATCAAACTTGACGGTTGCCACAGTCCACCACTGCCACCTCCAGTGACGAATTTTCAGTAAAAGTCCAAACGTTGGATTTTCATAAAAAATAGACGTATAGAAAAAAAAAATACTTGAGGAAATCTAAAGGTGTAGCTCGATCATCAATTGAGTCTCTCGATCACTGAAAATAGTCCTGTGAAGTTTCCAGTTTTCTTGAATGCCTCAACTCGCTGGAAAACTGGATAGTTGAGTGGCTTATAGCCGCAGACTCGACAGACTCGATTGATGATTGATATACAACGTTGGATTCCTCAAGAAATTGGTTTTCTATACATATATTTTTCATAGAAATCTTACGGTTGGATCTTCAGCATAACTTGGTCAAACTTTAAAGAAGATTTCGTCCAAAATAATTTAAATCTTGATCGCTAATTTTGACAAACTTTGAGATACCGTACAATGAAATAAAAGATATCATTGAATAGATTGAATTGAGAACTTTGAAATGGCAGCGGCCGGTGACCATCACCAGAGGTGGCGGCAGCGGCGGATGACCGTCAAACTTATAGTTGTTTTTCTAGCGGTTGGACCAAAAGAGATTAATTTTGAAACTTTATCTACCAAAACAAAATAAGTTGTCACCTGCAAAAATGTTGTATATTTTGGATACCAAAGTGATTTAAAAAAACAAAAAAGAAAAAGCATGATCAACCCAACAGTTCCTTTGCACTATTATACTGGAAGATGCTACGGTCTCGTTATGGAACCATTTCGTTGGAGTTTGTAACCATTAGATCAACCATCTCTAACGGTTACATGATGATCTAACGGTTACAAACCCCGACGGAATGGTTCCGTAACGGGACCTTAGCATTTTCCATTCTATATATATATGCCTTTAGTATAGTAAGTAATATGAAAGGTGTAACACTCAGTAATTTTTAGCTACGTTCAACATCAAGTAAAAAAAGAAAAAAGAAATTATAGCTCCAAGACACAATGCCAGAAAAACTGATATGGAAAGCAATAAAATAGAATGGGACAAAGAATTTGAGGGAGAGAACAAAGTTTTAATTATTATATTACATGCTAGAATCAGTTTGCCTAGGGAATAAATCCCTGATTTCATGGGAAGCTCCAAGCAACAGACAGTTTTCATATATTGGGGGAGGTACCAAGAATTTTGTCCCTTGTACCTAACATATATAAACACACACACACACACACACACACACACACACATATGATATATGAATCAAAAAAGAGTCACAAATCCATCTTTCTAACAACAGTCATCAATCAAGCATCATTTGTTTCTGTATCAGTTGCTTCACATAAAAGGTCAGTCACCATCAGTATGGACAGCTGTCAGTTTTCTTCGTACTTTGGACTTGTTCAAGGAGGAGATGACGATAATCAGCGAGTCGAGCTACCTGCATTACCCCACATACCTCAGCCGAAAACCCCAAAGGAGCCAATGGAGTTCTTGTCGAGATCTTGGACACTCAATGCCGACCAAATATCAGAAGCTCTTGCCACGAAGAACACACGACCTGCTGCATGTCAGCAAACCAAGAATCCCGAAAACTTTCCTCTACCGCAAAATATAGTGAGTTTTCACAGTTTTTCAAAACTGAAAAATCGCTTTTTTAGTTAAAAAACGAGTACTATTTTCAAAATCGAGAGTCTGTTTGAGATTTTTTCATTTTCTCTATCACTAAGTTGGAAGGAGAAAACAAATAACTAAAAGTTTGTTACCATTGGGCAGTCCGGGACAATAACGAAAACATCGAGCAGTGGGGCCACGGCTATGGGGAGATTTTTCAATCACAAAGAAGGAAATACTATGAGGAAAAAAGACAAAGCTCGGCTGGAGAGTGCACACACGCATGCTCTCGTCTCGGTTGCTGGCCTTGCAGCTGCATTGGCTTCTTTGTTTGCCTCAGCCGATAAATCCAAGTCCTCGAGCCCAGAAATGAGAACTGCATTGGCATCAGCAACAAAGCTCTTGGCCTCTTACTGTATCGAGCTGGCCGAATCGGGTGGGGCCCACCGGGAGCACGTAACCTCGGTCGTGAGGTCCGCAGTGCAAGTACACACAGAAAGTCATCTATTGACTTTAACAGCTGCAGCAGCAACTGGTATAAACTACAATATCCTTTGTTCT